TTGAGACCTATGATCTAGGCAAAGGAGCCATGACTGCACACTGCATAATTTTATAAGTCATCAGATCGCAGTTGTTTTCTCACTGCATGACACTCGTGCGAACAAGCACCGATTTGCCTCCAATTTCAGGCATTTGTTGGCGATTTTGATTGTGCAGTGTGAATCTAAAATTTTTAGCAGATATGGCAAATATGTGAACAATGTGTGAGGTAAATATGGCCTTTGTGTACATAAAAAGCATTAGATGTTTGAGTTCAGCTCATGAAAAACTGTGTTTGTATGGCACATCGTTTTTTTTCAGGAACTGATTTTATAGCAGCACTTCTCATGTTGCAAGCCTTGTTAATAGAGAAACTTGGCGAGGTGTATTTGTTTTCCATTTTAGTATTTAATATTTACTTGTGGACTTTATGACAGTCAAAGAATATTTCCCAAGGATGAGTGCTTTAGATGTCATGTTTACTGAAAGCATAAATATATGGTGTTACAAAAGACTACAACTTCTTCACCTTCACCTTGAGGTAGAATGTACTGAGGTTAAGGAACTTTTACAGATAATGCTGAATTTTCTGCTCACCCAAACATGAATGCTTAAAAAAGAGAGAACATTTTACCTCGATTCTGAGATGCAGATAGAGAAAAATTCAATAGCCTCAGTCAGTGCAGCAAGAAATTTAGGATGATGTTAATTTCCTGTTTAGAGCTATGGTGATTTTCTTGCATTTTATCTAGAGCGGTGAGTGCGCAGGTGCCACTAGTGGCCCACTGGCTTCCTCTAGTGGTGCAAAGGGGAATCACGCAATAAAAAAAAATGTTAAAAACACTAAGAAAATTTGCAAGTAGGCTAAATTATTAAAAGGTGAGCAAAACTGCCATTGTGGTCTCAATCTGGAAAGAGAAATGAAGATCAAGAGGAGAGCACAATAACTGAAGGGGATGTGAGTGAACAGAACAACTGCTAACAATGCTGGTAAGGTCCTTATAACATCTGCTAGCAGCAGTGAACAACACCAAACAGTGTTAAGTTGAACTATACATCAAATTCAATATACATCAAGAACAGAAACATCCCAGGGTGCAACGTCTGGTATGTGGCAAAGTTCTTAACAATGCATCCATGAAAAGGAATCTCATAACCAAGACCACAGCAATTAAAGATGCTGTATGTAAGTTTTTGGCTCTTCTAAAGCATAAACATAACATAATATGTTTGCAGATATTTAAGAAACATGCTAAGTAAACATTATTGTTAATCTGAAGAGCAAAGCTGAGGTCAGATATTCTGATTTGAAAATGGGTGTTACATGCCAGAATGCTGTCTTTGCTTTGGTTCTCTATAAATGTCCAGTAAAATGGCATTCAGACTCACACTGTTAGTATTTAACACTGAATAAAGCATGCAAGGTGTACCTGAGGGGATCATTGTCAGTTTTTTGTTGTTCAGCTGCAGGAAAGAAGCCATACATAATAGGTAGATTTAGCATGTTGTTTAATGTTGGTAGAACTGGTAGTTACTGTATGGCCATACATGGAGACATTAAAAGACGTTTTTAGAAATCTTAACTTGTCCACAGTTACCATTTAAAAGCATGTAAACTAAAATCCAGACTAATAAGCCATTTATGATGTTATGGGAGGCTGTCCTTTTGACAAATTAGGCTACTTGGGTCACAATGTCACTTGCATTGGATGTGATGTATGCATTTTTAGAAGGTGTAGTTCCTTTAGTGTTGTGCCTTGTTTAAAATAAAACTCACAGAGATGCAATCAAAATCATTCAAGAATGGCCATTCTTACAGCTGATGAATGATATGACAGAAGAATTAAAAAGCCTGCTTCTCTTTCTAGAAAAAGTTGCATCTGTAGTATGGAAGCATCTGCCTCAGAAGTGATTTAATTAGGATGCTTCCTTTCTTAGCACACAGAAAATTCCGAGGGCTGAAGTTACTGGCATGTCTGCTTACTTTGTTATGAAATGTTTGATGCTGTAATGCAGGGGTCCCGAGCTCGGTCCTGTAGTTTAGCTTAAACCCCAATTAGATAAACCTGAGCCAGCAAATTAAGGTCTTAGTTTAGTCGTACAAAAATGTACAATTTTAAACAGGAGGCGTGGCACCCAACCCAGCCCCTGAACTCAACCATCATTGGGGGATAAGCAAATCTTATTAAATTGTACGAATGAGATCATACAAATGCCCACGAATTAGCCAAATCAAAGCTACAAATTGTGAGATACTGTGTTGATACTGTAGATCAGGGGTTACCAACCCTGTTCCTGGGGAGCTACCATCCTGCAGATTTCAGTTACAACCTTGAGCAAACACACCTGCCTGTAATTATGAAGTGCTGCTTCAGGTCCTAAGCTCGCTGGGGTATTCATAGACATTTTCAACCTGTCGCTTAACCTAGCAGCTGTGCCAACATGCTTTAAAACCACCTCTATTGTGCCAGTGCCAAAACACTCCAGCCCAACATGCCTAAATGACTACCGCCCTGTAGCACTCACACCCATCATCATGAAGTGCTTCGAGCGGTTGGTCCTGGCACATCTAAAAGACTCTCTGCCATCCACACTCTACTCACATCAGTTTTCATACTGTGGCAACAGGAGCACAGAAGATGCAGTCTCCATAGCACTGCACTCTGTACTCACACATGGACAATAAAAACACTTATGCACGAATGCTGTTTGTTCACTTCAGCTCAGCATTCAACACTGTCATACCCTCCAAATTACTGATCAAACTTAGAGACCTGGATATCGATACGTCTCTCTGCAACTGGGTTATGGACTTTCTGACTAACATCTGCTCCACCACCGTCAGACTCAACACTGGTGTACCACAGGGCTGTGTGCTGAGCCCCTTCCTTTACTCCCTTTTTACTATCGACTGTAGGCCTGTGAACAGATCCAACACTATCATCAAATTTGCAGATGACACCACAGTGATTGGTCTAATCAGCAATAATGATGAGACGGCCTACAGGGAGGAGATACAGCATCTGGCCACTTGGTGCACCGACAATAATCTGCTCCTTAACCCCAACAAGACCAAGGAGCTCATTGTGGACTTCAGAAAGGGACGAACAGGCTCACATAATCCCATCCACATCAATGGGATGGCCGTTGAGCCCGTCTCATCCTTCAAGTTCCTGGGGACCCACATCTCAAAGGACCTTTCCTGGACCACCAACACCTCCAGCCTGGTCAAGAAGGCTCACCAGCGCCTATTCTTCTTAAGGCAACTGCAAAAGAACCAGCTTTCATCAGCTGACTTGGTGAACTTCTACCGCTGCACAATAGAGAGCATCCTGACCAACTGTGTCACAGTCTGGTATGGAAGCTGCTCTGTTGCTGAGCGCAAGGCACTGCAGTGGGTGGTGAAAACTGCCCAACGCATCACAGGGACTACACTGCCAGCCATTGAGGACATCCAGAGAAAACACTGTCTGTGCTGAGCACGCAGTATTCTGAAGGACACCTTTTACCCCGCTGATAGACTGTTTTCACTCCTGCCTTCTGGCAGGCGATTCAGGCTCCCCCGGACAAAAACCAGCAGAGTGAGGAACAGGTTTTTCCCCAGAGCTGTCCCTCACTGACTCTTTTGCCCCCCAATACACCCCCCACTCTCCTCTAACTTAAACTCCTCATAATCACTGCACTGTTTAACATTAACATTTGCACATATATATTGCACTACATTACACTGATTTACTTATTTGAACTGTACATACCCACTGCACATGGACATGTAATTTTGTGCACACCCACTGTACATATACATTTGTAATTATGTTTATTTATCTGCACACTTCTGATTATTAATAGCAACCTGTACATATATTCATATTCATCTATTGTAAATGTTCATAGCTAATACAACCTGTATATAATGTTATAGTACATCCATCTGTAAATATTACCATAGTTTTTCTATAACTGCACTTTATAACTTATACCTGTATCCTGCATTTGCTGATATTGCACTGCTGGTTAGACCTAAACTGCATTTCATTGCATTGTAATTGTACATGTGTAATGACAATAAAGTTGAATCTAATCTAATCTAATGTAATTAATTGGTTCAGGTGTGTTTGATCTGGGTTGCACCTAAAATCTGCAGGAAGCTCCTCAGGAACAGGGTTGATGACCCCTGCGGTAGATAATGCTGGGAATAATTTTCTAATATAGGTGAATTTTAGAGAGTTGTTGGATGTTGTGTAAGCATATTATTTCAGTCTTCGCCTTTGACTGCAGCATTTAGTAAGGGCAAATAAATAAAAGTAAACTAAAATCTTTTTAACTAAAGAATTTGCTGGGGTTACCCTACAGAGACACATTTGTGTATTTAGAAAGTGGATCAATGAGTTCATAACTCTTTTCTTGACATGCACTCAGGCTTTACTCTAATTGCATAATGAGATCATAAATTGGCACATCAAATTGTTTTTACTAAAATACTATTTGCATTAACTGCATCACACCCTTAGCAACCACCACTAGTTATATGAAAATCAATATAAATGTCAAAACATTTTCACGTTTTACATTACAGTAAAAACAACCAGTTATTATTTTTTTTTAAATCAAGTACAAGTGACAACTTTCAATTTCGCTAATATCGATGACATAATTATCCTTTTCTTTTTGGATTTATTATTTGGAGTTTGGATTTGGATTTATTTACTGTTTTTATGTCCTTGTGTTAAGTCAAAGTATACAAAATAGTTATCCAAATGGTAATGGTAAATAATAAAAATATTTAAAATCATGGGGAATTTTTATAAAATATGGGTGTTTTTTTAAATAAATTAAATATATTTTATTAATATTATATCATTAATAACAATTATTCAACTGTCAACTCCTCATTAAGGTTAAATGCTGATAGCCTTGCAACCATTTATTGACTGTGCTGATGTGAGGGCTTTCTTAGAGGTTAATAATTTTTTTATAAAGTAAACAGACTAAAGGTTGTTTAACAACCAACCGTAAGGGCACAGGCTTTATAACAGTCTAGTTTGAGAAGAGGAACAACAGCTGTCTTTAGAGGTAGGGAAATCATTTTTTTTTTAGATCTGAAATATTGAATAATTGTTTTGTTTGATAAATAAATGCAAATCTGATCTTGTAGAAGAAAAGAAAAATACAGCAGCTAAATTGTTCATCGTCGCTGATGCGTCAAACTGTCATGAACATGTCCTCCTTGTCACTAATATGTTCTCAAACTCTTTCTGTTATATTTCCCCTCAGAGCCTTCAAATAAAACCATGGAACGGAACGGTGTACTTTTGTGGATTTTTGGTTTTGCAATAGTTGTCTGTGGGAATCAAGAGACTTTACAACAACCTCCCATTAGTGCTAAACTCCCGTCATTAATAAACATGAACAACGATTTTGCTTTTCACCTGTACAAAAGGGTTATTGAATCGCCTGACTATCAGTCTAAAAACATCTTCTTCTCTCCGTTCAGTGTGTCTATTGCCCTTTCTGAGCTTTCTTTAGGAGCCGGTGGAGACACCAAACAGCAGCTTCTCAGTGGCATTGGCTACAACAGCACAACCTTCAGCACTGAGGAAATGCACCAGCTGTTTCACAGTCTCCTGGAAGACATCGGCAATAGGACAGGAGTGGACATCGATGTCGGCACTGCTCTTTATGCAAGTGACCGATTTAAGCCTCATTCCAAGTTTCTGGAGGACATGAAGGAGTTTTACCACTCTGATGGCTTCACTGTAGATTTCAGGGTCAAAGAAACAGTCGATCAAATTAATAATTATGCAAAGAAAAAAACACAAGGAAAATTCAATCAAGCTGTTGATGATCTGGAAGAGGATACTTTGATGTTTCTTCTCACATATATATATTTTAAAGGTAAGTGCACGGCTATACACAATAGTCAAAGTATTGCAGATTTGAAAATGGCATTAGATCTTCTTAAATAACTCCACTCTTTCTTCTGAAGGAAAATGGGACAAGCCTTTTAAGCCAGAAAAAACCCGTGAGAGTACATTTCATATAGATGATAAGACCACCGTTCCAGTGCAAATGATGCATCAGTATGAACGTCTCAAAGTCTTTTATGATGCTGAATTGTCCACTAAAGTCCTCTGTCTTGACTACAAGGATTCCTTTTCCATGTTTCTGGCTGTCCCAGATGATAAAATGGAGCACAAAAACATCAAAGATCTAGAGATGACAGTCTCTAGACAGCACTTTGAAAAGTGGAGGAGAAGTGCCTTTAAAAAGTTGGTTGTCTTCATTAAAATTAAGACCATCCCAATTGTTTCATTCAAGTGTTTTAAGTTTAGTGTGTTCATCATTTGGATTACCCAGTCACCTTTAACCACAGTGACTTTTTTGTTCCTGCAGAACAGTTGACATCTACGTCCCCAAGCTTTCTCTGAAAACATCATACTCCTTGAAGGATATTTTGAAGGGAATGGGAATGGCTGATATGTTTTCAGATAAAGCCAACTTTACAGGAGTTTCAGAGGAAAAGATCTTCGTTTCAAAGGTAAAGTCTCAAGTCCATCTCTATTCAAAGTCAAAAGTCAAGTCAACAGTGTTCTGAAAAGATTATACAGTATCTAAAGTGATGTTTAAATTTTAGAAATATGGGTAACACTTTACTCTAGGTCACAATTTATGTTATTAACAAACCATTAACTAACACTACCAGCTTAGTAAACTGTACTGTAAAACTCTAGTCACCTTTATCAAATGAAATGAGTGTGGTTAATTCAAAATCTACTGAAAGTTAATTCTGCTCATTTGAAAAGAGTTTTGAACTCAGTGTTGAGGGTAATGAGTAATTAAATACCTATCACTTCAACTAAAATGGAGTAAGTTCACAGTACTCATGTAGATTAGTTTCTTTAACTCAAATGGTTTGTAGCAATCGTTTCCTCAAACGATTTGTCTTCCTCAAACGAATCGTCTTCCTCAAAGAGTTGACTAAACTTATTAGGTTTTACAGTACTCAGTTGGTTTGAGGTCTTTTCAATAATTGTGCTTTACTGCGCTCAAATTGGTTCATTTACTCAAATGGATTAAGTTCACAGTACTCATTAGGATTAGCTTTTGAACTTAAATGGTTTGTTGCAATCGATTTCATCAAATAGTTTGAGTTACCTTGACTTTTGGGTTTTACAGTGTACTAATAAACTGTTTATTAATAGTTAGTAAAAGCTGTGTTTAGATTTGGGTAAGGTTAGGAATGCAGAATATGATTATACCTTATAACTACTAATGAACAGTTGATATCTTAATAATAATAATAATAAGCCAGTAGTTAATAGCAGGAATCGTGACCTACTGTAACTGAAGTGTTACTGAAATATGAGCAGCATTTGTATTTAATTTATATTCACTGAATCTACTCAAGTTAAATATTTGGTAAAATCAAAATGAGACTCTGTGAATCAGAACTGAATCTATGCAGGCAGCAACTTTTGTAGTTTTGAAGATTTGGGGACAGGGATTGTTTTGACAATATTACACACAAAACTTTGGAAAAAAAAACCTTTGTTTTGAAGTGCATCATAGTCATTCAAATATAACCTAAATCATGATTAAATTATACAATTAAAAGACTTTAAGAGGAGTCTGTTTGATTCACTTAGGTTTTGCATAAAGCCACTCTGGATATCGATGAGCAAGGAACCACCGCAGCAGCAGTGACAGGAGTTTCAATGAGAGTAAGGTTACACAACCCATTGAGTATTTTGAAATTTAATCGCCCATTCATGGTCTTTATCACGGATCAAACAAATGACAACATCCTTTTCTTTGGGAAAGTCGTCAACCCAAATGAAAAACTGTGATGTGGCCCACAACATGTTAAAACAATGTTAGCCAGTAGGTGGAAACCATTTAACAACTGCAGTGCCATAGATTGCAGATTTTGTAGAGTTCCGTTTTTATTGTTTTAACACATCTGGAGCAGCTTATTTACTGTAGGTGATGGTTGGAAAAAAATAAACTGCAAGAAATTGATTTGATTCCTTTTATACACCACACATTTAGTGTTTCAAGGTGCTGTATGTAAGTTTTTGATTTTTCTAAAGCATAAAAAACACCATAATATGTTTGCAGATATTTAAAAAAACATGCCAAGTGAACATTCTTGTTTATCTGAAAAACAATGCTGAAGTCAGATTTTCTGCTTTGACAATGTCCATTACATGCCGGAACAGCTGTCTTTGTTTTGGTTCTTTTAACCCACCCACTGCCAGTTTAGCAATTATATTTAGTACCCCTGGTTGCCTTGTTGGAAAACACCATATTTCATTTGTTTAAAGTTAATTATATAGACAGTATAGGTGAAAAATGTAATTTTTTGGAGGCATGTAAACATAGTCACTGAGTCTTTATGTCACTTCCACAGGAACACTAGGGTGATTAAATTAGATCAGATAAGATTCAACTTTATTGTAATTACACATGTACAAGTACAAAGCAATGAAGTGCACCTTCTGTTGTAATAACTAGAATCAGCTACAGTTTTCTATTAATAATGAGGAATATGCACACTGATATGAACATAATGTACAAGTTGTTATTTGCTACAAACAGGAATTACAAATAGATATGTAGATATGCAAGTCATAAGTTCAATGTATATGCACAGTGGATATGTATATGTGCAGTGTGGTGCAATGATTATGTGCTATATTAAGTGTGCTATGGTGCAATGGGAGTTCAAGTTATGGGGTGGGGTGTAGATGCACAAGTACTACTGAATGAATGTTACGCACAGCTACGAGCAGAAAAAAAAACAAATTTGGATGGGAACTGTTTTCTGTAATTTTGTATAACTGTATGAAGTAGGGTTTAGCGATGCTGACCAATTTGACATCGCATGATGTCTAATGTGAAACATCAAGATGGACGATGGCATCGTCGTAGTAGGTGGCAGTGAATTAATTATTTATAAATAATTAATTCATAATGAATCAATTATTTGTATAGTCTACCATTTCAACTACCTGGGGTCCATTCTTCGTACCTCGCTTAAATGATATAAGATGATTTGTCTGATCCTGGATCTGTACATCTTGATAACTGATCTCTGGCTAATTTTAAGTTTGCGAATCAGATTAAAAAGTCTGGACGAACTGATCTGAAATCGCTGCGTGTGTTGTGAAGGACTGATCTATCCTGATCATGATCAGTAATGTAACGATTGGCTGACGGCACAGCAGCGTAATGACATCATCTGATTAATATTCAATTATCCATAACAGCAAAATTACATCAAATTAGCATTAAATGGTTTGTGAAATATGACACGCAATAACTTCTCACGTTTGTTGTGGGCTGCAGGCTTTACACTTTTATGTGTCAAGATAATTCATCATTTATTTCAATGCATATCAATGTATCGAATCGAATATTGTGCATGTACGCGTTTGCATCTTAAAAGTTCATATCAATAAATTGTGTCTTTGAACCACCAAGTGGCAGTCTTTTACTTTTATTTCGGATTGCATAAGTTTTATTAATGATGTATTTTTAACTTATATTTATACATATATACTATTTATCCAAGTATATTACTACTGTAAGAAAATATCAGCATTTGGTACATACTTTCAGTATTATCTTTGCTTGAACTGACCCAATCTAATCCTGTTTATATAAAATGAACCTGCTCCTATACGCAGGCTTGAGCTACCAGAACTGTTACTATGACAACAAGTCTCAGATGAGTTTTGAAGAACAAAATGATCCTGGATCATGTCAACATCCAAATCCAGCTAATTGAGTAATCCACGTACGAAGAACAAACCCCTAACCTGCATGATCTTTGTTTTACCCATAACCAAATCATAAATAAATAATAATAAGTTACCTACAAATTACTACCTGTCAGTCATTTTTTTCCGCGGAACTCATACATGAATAGGCAGAGTAATATGTGTTGTTATAACAGTGTCAACAAACTTGCTTGGTAAAAAGGTGCACAACCAACAGTATCTGAGTGTGGAGAGGTAAGCATGATCGAACACCCAATGAGGGGGGAGGCCAGGCCAATCAGAAATAATAAATAACACCTGTTTATTCTAGTGATTGAGCCGGAGAGACACCCTTCTTAAGGAGAAGAGAAGGAGCAGCCGGAGAGAGGAGAGAGCACACACACACCTTAACTGCTACACGTGTTGTGCATTGAAAAAAAAAAAAAGTATATTATTTACCTGATATTGCCGACCCTGTCTTCTTCTTCCCACACAACAACGAACGATATTACACTGAGGTTTTTACAAAAATTAAGATTGAAGCAGTGTACTGACGCTGACACGTTACCTGAAAGATTCAAAAGACAAAAAAGTCGTTAGAGAGAGACAAGATGAATTAAATATCACATTTAACTACTATAATGAGACGCAATCCATTTTCAGACCATAAAATTGTGACGTTTCAGATCACTTTTACCCATGAAATAAGCTACTAACTCATCTAATATCTCCAGGCGGTTTAGTAGATTTAAGGGCTCTTCTATTGATCTGTTTAAAAATTTGTACATTAATGATCAACATACAACTATGCTAGAGAACCCTCCCTCTTATTTGGATGTGGACCACCTGTGGAATTGTTTAATTGCTATTTTTCTTCCATTTTAGACTCTGTTGCCCCAGAAAAAACTAGAACTGTTAAGCCTACATCTGAGCCTCGTCTGAATGAGACAACAAGGGCATCTAGACAGGCTTGCAGAAAGGCTGGACGCAAGTGGAAGAGAGATAAACTGCAGGTGTCATATGAGATCTTTAAGGAATCTCTCTCCAATTATCAGGTTTCTATGAAGGAAGCTAAGAGGAAATATGTTTCTGATTTAATCAGTAATCATCAAAATAAACCTGACATTTTATTTTAAATGTCAAATGTTGTTATGGAGGAATCATGCGATACATGTGAAGCTTTTTTAAACTTCTTCATGGATAAGATTTCTTAAATTAGGTCTGGAATTGTTAGCTATGATATTGTTTTTCCTGAACCTGGCGTGTCCCCTGCTGCACTTGTTAGTTTCACACTTGTCTATTTTGTGTCTCTGACAGATACAGTGGGCCGAATAAAACTTAGCAGCTGTCCATTGGATATTTTCCCATCAAAGTTTTTTAAGCTAGCCTTTGAGATTATAGGCCCTAGTATTTTGTCCATTATTAATAGGAGTCTTGTTTCTGGAATGGTGCCTTCACAACTGAAACATGCTGTAGTGCAGCCTCTTCTGAAAAAGCCAAATTTGGATAAATCTGTGCTGTTCAATTTTAGCCCTATTTCAAAACTACCCTTTTTATCTAACATCTTGGAGAAAACTGTTTTAACACAACTGCAGAGCTTTCTGGAGCTTAACGGTGTTCATAAAGCTTTTCAATCAGGTTTTATGGCATACCATAGTACTGAGTCTGCACTGCTATGTGTGATGAATAACATTTTATTAATTTAGGGACTCGGGGCACTCTAAGACCCTTTTGCTTCTTGACCTTATTTCAGCTTTTGCCACTATAGACCACGAGATCCTTATTTCCCATCTTGAGAATTTGGTGGGCATTTAGGGCTCTGCTCTTAAATAGTTTAGATCTTGTTTGTCAAACAGAAACTTTTGTGTTAATGTTGGTCAGAGCTTTTCATCCTCCAGACCCCTGACCTGTGGAGTTCTGCAAGGGTCTATCCCTGGACCCATTTTATTTTCTTTATATATATTTACCTTTGTTTTTCTCATAAATATGTTGTGGCTTTTCTTTTTTATTATGACGACACTCAAATCTATGTCTCTCTTAAAAATAATGAGAAAAATGGCCTTGACTCCGTTATGAGATGTCTAATTGAGGTTAAGACCTGGCTGTTGTCAAATGTTTTAAATTTTAATGAGGAAAAAACTGAGCTGGTCTGGTTTGAGGATCCTACCCCTCTGGAGTTATTAGGTTTAGGTGAGCTATCAATTTATCAAAAACCTGTTGTTAGAAACCTTGGGTTTCAGTTTGATAGTGATCTAAAATTTAATAAACAAGTAAATTCAGTTGTTAAATCCATTTTATTCTATTTATGACTTGTGGCAAAAGTGACTTCTCTCTTTTAATGACCTTTAGAGGGTGATTTATGCTGTTATTTTGGGGAGACTTGACTATTGCAGCTCTCTATAAGTAAGTATTAGTCAAAATGCCCTGAATTGATTGCAATTAGTCCAAAATGCGGCTGTAAGACTTCTGACAGGGACTCGCAAGTATGAGCACATATCGTTCGAGGTTACTAAAGTAACCCTTCGTTCCCCGAGGAGGGGAACGGAAGCACTATAAGTGGATTTGATTTGTAAAATCCACGCATTGGGAGGATTCGGATCAGAAGCCGCTTGTCTGGAGAGTATTGAACGGGCCAATGAATGAAATTAATTGGCAGCGTAAGCTTGCGCAGGTGTGCGACATCTGCAATTATCTCAGCATATAAGCACACCTGAAGCCAGCAGACGCCATCCTTTTAAGCTGAAGAGACTTTCAAACAGCTAAGGGACAGTCATTATGGAGACGGAGTATAGTGCTTCCGTTCCCCTCCTCGGGGAACGAAGGGTTACTTTAGTAACCTCGAACGTTCCCCTTCGGGGGGAACTTCAGCACTATAAGTGGATTTGATTTGTAAAATCCACGCATTGGGAGCCCATTGAAAGCGCCACAATGACTGCACCTTACCAACACCCCCGATGAGGAGATAGTCAAGCAAGCGTGACGCACCCACATCATGGGGGGCGCGGTCCTCCAACGTGTCCCTGGCCCTGATTTATCCTACTTCAACAGAAGTTTTACGGATTAGATATATTTTTTGGGAAGTCGTGAGCATCTAGATAATTCTAGGAAATATGACAGTACGTTGGGAAGCGTGCAATCCCGATAGGGAGGACGCTGCGGAGGCCATCCGTTACCCAAGGGGGGGATAGATGGCAGAATTTACATATGGACTAGCCCTAAAAAGGGGGAGTACGCATAGCAAAAGAGTGGTTAGCGGAGAGGAAAGACACGGGTCCGCCCAGGGGGGGGACTTAACCGTGGCGGAATAAGCATATGGGATCGCCTAGTGGGGATCACGCATAGCAGGCACCTATACCCAAAACGCGGGCTGACCAGCGGGCAGACCTACAACGTAGTGGGCCAGCAAGTGACTCCTCCGCTGAGTCAGTGCTGGGGGCCACGGAGGAATCTGCAGGGCTCA